ACAGTGTGACCGTGACGCTATTCGGCACTGGTGACACGGGGACCATGCACCTCACACGTCCGGAATGTGGCACTGGCATCAAGATGCTCCCTGATCTCAAATCAAATCACAGGCACTTCACAAAAATTTCAATTTTGGCGTCTCAAAAAAGCAACTGGATGTGCTTTAATTCTAAATTCTGGGGGCTGATTTACGAATTGTCACGACTTTGATCTGATACCTTCAGCAGAAAATAGACGACTTTCTTTGAAGCTGTGGTAACCGTTGAATCTTGTTAGTCCGAAGTAGAACGGGTGCTGCTGGGCCCCTTCCTGGGAGTGTGGCCCCTTCCTGGGAGTGTGGCCCCTTCCTGGGAGTATGGCGCACATGCAGCCAATGCAGAGAAACGCCACCAGGCAGCCACAAGCTGCCATCTTCTTGCCTGATGCACACACGAGCATTACTTTTCTTTTGAGTGAATGTGTGGGGGGTTGAGACTGTTTTATTAATCACCCTGACTCCATTTGCTGGTCCTTTCCATTCCTCAGTCTCTCTCTGATTTCAGGGTCCTCTGATCCTGACAGCTGTATGTGATATAGGCCCTGAGGAGTGTTGGCAGTGACACGTTACTGTACCCTCACTACTTTTGGCGGTAACAAGTAATGTAACTAATTACTTTTTCAAATTAAGTAACCCAATTAAAAGTACGTTTTAAATGGGCTCCTTACTTTTGTCTTGCGGCCAATTCCCCTAATTTCCCGTTTATGATCTAATGCCATGCGACCTCACAGTAGCGCAGTGAGTGGGTGATACAGTTTGACAGTTGCATTGTCTCGCAGTGTCACAGCAGTGACACTAAAATAATATAACTAGCCAATGTCTCCGGCGATGCTTTAAAATGCATCTGCAAAGCATCTCTACGAGGTCGTTTGTTCACTGGCACAACTGCTTCTAAGTATCATCTGACATCCCCCCATGTCTGCGGCATGTATTTCAGCACCAACACGGTGTCAGTGAGATCAATATACTGCCATTTTTCCCGATAAGGCTGTGTAACCCACAATAGGGTTAAACTATATATCAGGGGTTTTCAACTAAAATTTAAAGATGTCCAGTTAGAGAAAAATTCTTGAAACAAAGGTCCGGAATATCATAATGTCTAACTATTTAGTGTGATATATATTTAAGTAGCCTATTAGTTGCATCAACATTGCATTTAATCAGTACCTGACTGTCAAATCAAATTAATTCAATACAATTCAAAAACGTTTTGACAATATTTATTGTCACGTGACACAGAACTTCGGATGGTCAATTCG